TTCAATAAGCATTTTTTTAGCAACACTGCAACAGGTATGTGACAGTGTTGGGTGCTGCGCAGGTGGCGCAGTACATCGGCGAGATGTGCCGCTACGTGCTGGCGGTGCCGGCGCACGCCGACGACGCCAAGCACAAGCTGCGCGTCGTCTTCGGCAACGGGCTGAGGCCGCAGATCTGGGCGCCCTTCGTCAAGCGCTTCGCCATCCCGCGCGTCGCAGAGTTCTACGGGGCCACCGAGGGCAACGCCAACATCGGTGAGCCGCCGAAGCGAGCAACCTTCTTTTTCTTTTTTTTTTCTTTTTTTCTTTTTTTCTTCTTTTTTTCTTTTTTTTTCCTTTTTTTCCTTTTTTCCCCCTTTTTTCTTTTTTTCTTTTTTTCTTTTTTTCCTTTTTTTTCTTTTTTTTCTTTTTTTTCTTTTTTCCTTTTTTTCTTTTTTTCTTCTACTTCCTAGCCCCTTCAGGCTCATTCACGGTGCAACCGTAAACATAAGCATGGTGTTGACGTTAATAGAGGCAGGGCTGCGCATTTGAGCAGCAGTGTGTAAGAACTATTATTCATTAGACCAGCATGTGCCTAGCACGTGCTTTCGGAAAGTCAAAGATTCATTCAACGTACAATAATGCGCATCCACCTTTTCTCCTTTACTACTACATTACTATTAAACGTCAAACACCATGCTTATGTTAACGTTGCACCGTGAATGGAGCCTGAAGGGCTAGGAAGTAGCAAGAAAAAAAGAAAAAAAGAAAAAAGAAAAAAAAAGAAAAAAAAGAAAAAAAAAAGGAAGAAAAAAAAAGAAACAAGGAAAAAAAAAGAAAAAAAAGGGGGAAAAAGGAAAAAAAAAGGAAAAAAAAAAGGAAAAAAAAGGAAGGAAAAAAAAAGAAAAAAAGAAAAAAAAAAAAAAAGAAAAAGAAGTTGCTCGCTTCGGCGCTCACCGATTGTTGGCAGTTGCCCTCGGGGCCCCGTAGACTCTTTGCGACGCGCGGGATGGCGAAGCGCTTGACGAAGGCGCCAGATCTGCAGGGCTCAGCCCGTTGCCGAAGACGACCGCGCTTGTGCTTGGCGTCGTTCGGCGTGCGCCGGCACCCGCCAGCACGTAGCGGGCACATCTCGCCGATGTACTGCGCCACCTGACGCAGCACCCAACACTGTCACATACCTTGCTTGGCGTGTTGCTAAAAAAAACATGACTTATTGAAACGTACGACAATAGTAGGTGGGAGCGTAGGGCTTCCGCGGCTGAGTCAGTATATTACTAGGCTGACCGGGTGACGCCGCGTCCATGGCGAGGTTTGCCGACGTTTCGGTCGCAATTCTGCGATTTCTTCCTCAGGGCGTAATATACACAATATGTTTATCATTGGATTCTTATTTGTGCTCGTCGATGATATATCTATACATATTTTTCGGCCTATTTTGAAAAAATACGTTACCGAAATATCTCGTAAAATTCCATGAGATAAAATAGAAATGAAATACACGTATAATTAGTCACATTCCCTCATGCACGTCGTGAAACTTGCATTGCCAGCAACTTAACCTACATTGCAAACACCTGTTACTAGTCGCCAGTAGACACAAAACTGTCACAAAACGTCTGCAGTGTTACCAAAAAAATGGCTTATTGAACATACGAACATTATGTTATATCATGGATTCTTTTATGCCCGTCGTGATATATTCATTACATATTTTTTCGGCCTATTTGAAAAAAAAACTACCGTTACCAATATCTCGTAAATCCAAAGAGATATAGAAAATGAATAACACGTATCAATTACGTCCCTTCCCTCTACATGCCGTGAAAACTCATTAAGCACTTTAACCTAACACTGCAAGAACTTTAAACTTGCGCAGTACACAAAACTGTCACAAACTGTTGCGAGTGTTACAAAAAAAAATGTTTATGAACGACAATATGTTTATCATTGGAATTCTTTTTATGCTCGTCATTAGATATATTATACATATTTTTTTCGGCCTATTTGAAAAAACTACTTTACCCCAAAATATCTCGTAAAATCCAAGAGATTAACATAGAAATGAATACACGTATCAATGATTCACATTCCCTCATTGCACGGTCCGTAAAACTGCATTTGCAGCAACCTTTAACAGTTTCAAAATTACATATAGAATGTCTATAAGTTAACATGACTCGCCCTGTATACACTACAAAATAATATACGAATACAATACAAATGGTTTATTATTTAACAAAAAAATCTACGATGCGGCCCTCCAAAATAATTGGTTGGATCCGCACCTCTTCCGAACGGGTCGTATAGAACCCCTGGGAGTCCCATGAAATTTTGGAAGAGGTTCAATGATGGTCATGCGTCGGATCATAGACAAATCTGGACCAGATGAGTATGATCAAGATCCCACTGGTTACAAAAAAATTACTCGTTTTCTGATATGAAGCAAAACACCTACAATACTAAATTAAAAATGATCCTTTATTTCGTATCCTCTTTCATCCCTTACGACTTAGAAGTTCAGAAAGTCAAGATATTTATAAAACTATCATCCCCATCGACACAGATCGCGCAAAAAAAAGAGATGGGGATTGGGAGTCGGCAGTGGGAGTGGGAGACACTGCAGCTTGCACATTCCAAACACAGTAACATGTTTTAAAAATGCATTAAATGCACATATTGCATGTACTGAGGGTGGAGTGAGGGTGAGAGGTGGAGTGGGAGGTGAGGAGTGGGTGGCGTGCAGGGTGGAGTAGGGAGGGAGGGTGGGAGTGGGGTGAGGTGGGCGTGGGGGTAGGGTGGTGGGGTGACGGTGGGGGGGGGTGAGGTGGGTGGGGTGAGGGTGGGTGGGTGAGGGGGTGTGGGTGAGGGGGTGTGGTGAGGGGGTGGGGGTGAGGGTGGGGTGGGGGTGATGGTCGCCGGTGAGTGGGGGTGAGGGTGGGTCGGGAAGTGAGGGGGGTAAGGGTGGGTTGAGGGGTGGGGTGGGGTGGGTAGTGGAGGGTGGTGGGGTGAGGTGGGTGAGGGGTGAGGGTGGGGGTTGCCTCCGTGACTCGTTAGCGGCGATGTCTGGGAAACTAGGCGGAGCGGAGAACTGCGCGAATGACGACAGGCCGCCGAACAGCAGCCGCCTGGCCGCCACCGACATGAGCCGCCAGCCGTGTGGGTAGAGCGGCAGCGGCGTGTAAAAGCGGTCGTGGCCTTGAAGCCCGCCATCAGCTGATGCGCGGCGTTGAAGAAGAACCTATGCCCACACACGACCACCCTTAGCACTCTGCGGCCTCCCATCGAATACTTAGGAGTACGTCTCGATTCGACGAAATTACTACAAAGAATAATTACCATATAACCCGCCAAAAAGAACACGCTTAAGTAAAAACCTCGGATTAAAAACCACTGATAAATTTTCAAAGTAAATTTTCGCTCAAACAATTGCAATACTCCTTATATAAACGATATTTATCCAAACATATATCATTTATGGTGCCCTAATTTGGTTAAATGCTTGGCTGAAACGAACTTTCAAAAATACAAATTATTCAAAATAATAATTCAGAAAACAAATTACAAAGGCCCCATGATTCATTCAAAATCCACAGTGCCCGAAATCAATTAAATGTCCCGTATATAATCCATTCATATCGAGATATTCCAGAAAATTATATCACGTATCAACCAATCTTATCACTTACTCAAATTTAATCTGGCTCAAATCATAGATTTCGGACACAAGTAGAAACACTTTGCTGATTCAAGCATTTTGAAACTTTCCAGCCGAGGTTGGAGGATAAGTAAGGCACCTTGTAGCTCCTGACCCTTCATAGTTAGATTTAGTAGATTTATTCAAGTTAGTTTATGTAGGTTAATTTAAGTCGCTAAAAACTACAAATGTAAAAGTTTGTTACCTGAAGTTACGATGTATGTATCATGTTATTCTAATAAATAAAAAAATTAAAAAATGAAAAAAAGAGGAAACAACACTGCAGCTCCCCAATAACACCAACCATCATGTACTCTTCAGACCCGAATGATTACTTGTGACCCGACCTCGGTGCTAGGGTCATCAAAGATTTGAGTATTCAGTGCCCAGCTAAACAATCCCAAAATCCTTCAACACAAGCAGATGCGAAGAATTATAAGGGACATCACTAACATAATAATAATAATTATTATGATTATTATTATATATTATTATTATTATTATTATTTATTATATATTGCATGAAAAATTAATAATGCAAGGATTCAGTGCTCAGATTACAAGATTTCCTTACATCTGAAGAAAACATTCCACTTCCATAAATGCAAAGAGAGAGAAGTAAATTAATTAAAAGAAATTTTCTTGAAGACAATTAGAAGGGAACTGAGGAATGGAGCAACCAAAAATTACGGAAATCGGAAAAAATTACTTCCAACACGAGACCGCAATTACTTGTGAGTCAATTTTCTGTAATGCTATTCGAAATCATTTAAACATGTAGAAGTGAGCCGCACAGGAACTGGCTTTACTACTGGCGAACATCAGATGGTTAATTCTCAATTTCTCGTTGCCAAAAATGCATCACTCCCAAGAATACCGGAAATATTAGTTATGTAACGGAAAAGTATCTAATCTTCCAAGTGTACGTCTAACGGACACACATACGTTAATATGTTTTACAAAGTAATAGCGAAAACATTGATGGATTAATGCATTACATAGATTTTGTTGTTGCGTTGTTGTTGGGTTGTTTGTTGTTTGTTGTTTGTTTTTTGTTTACACAAACTTGAAGCAATATTTCATAGAAAACTCGCTATATGGATGACGTTATGCTAATGTTGCCCAACAAATTTAGTATACGACTATTCTGTGCGAGTCTCAAACAAAATAACGTCGTACTGAAGAATGTTTCTAGTCTGCATTACACGTGTATCGTACAGAGTGCTGCCGTCAGCTAGACAGTTCTGAATGATATGGAAACAAAAATCATGGATTACCTTGACGTTTACAGACTATTCACTTAGGAGCGCTAGACGCAGAAGAACAATATTTTGATTCGGGCGTACACAATTCGCCAAAGACAAAACTATTTCTATATTATACTTTCCGAATGGCCAGGGAATTTGCATGAACATGTTATAAATAAGTATTTCGATGCAAAGTCACAAATTAAAACAATGCTTTAATTGTTTCAAATACATAACAAAATTTATCTCAACAATGAACGTTTGATCTTTAATCTAAAATGAAGTAGGACAATCAATTGAATTCAATGGCAAACTCGTGTGGATTAGCCAAC